TTAATTTTTATAGTATTAAACTTTAATTTTTAAGCTTTATTACTTAATATCTTAATAATTATTAAGAATATAAGAGTTATACTCTTAATAGCCTTATTATAATACTACTTAAAAGCTACTTCATAGTATTTAACTTAACTTACTTTCTAAGAAATAGACCTATTATACCTTAGAACCTAAGCCACCGTTATATAAAGGTATTCTAACCTATAGTATATAAGTATTAATTAAATTACATGTAATTAATTGCTTAATAGCTTAAGATCTTTTAAAACGTATTATAATAAACTTATTATAAGCTTACTAGACATTAAATTAAGGCCTATTAATAGGGTGTATATCTTAATTACTTGTATTATAAATAAAGTGTTATTAATATATATAAACTCTTTTATAAGTCTTTAGTATAAGAAGTTTTACTTTAAGGCTTTATATAAGCTATAATCTTATAGTTAGTTCTTAGAATTAAATTTAGCCTTATATTATATTATATTATTCTTATTAAGTTTAAAAAGGGTATTTAAATAAGACTTAAATAGCTAGATCTTAAGTAATAATATAATTAGGTTAATAAATATATTTTAAATAAAGTAATATCCCTAGCTATTAGCACGGTTCTTCGTGCTAATAAAGTTAATAATATTACGAATATAATAGAAGACTACTTAAAAGCTAATTGTATAAAGCTTAGTAAGAATAGCATCTTAAAGAGCTACTTAATTACAAGCTAAATCCCTTATTAACTCTACTATTTAAGGTTTAAAAAGAGTAACTTTACGAACTTAAAACTAGATAATAATATAAGCTTTAAGTGCTATTATATCTTAATAATTATAAAAGAAAGATAAAAACTCACGTAAGTATAACGCTAAAAGAAATAAGATTTTTTAGTCTTATAAAAATCTCTTATTATTATAATTATTTAGAGAAAGCGGTTATAATTTATTAGTATATTTAGGTTTACTATTTATACGTAATAACTAATAAAGGCACTATTACACTTAGAGCTCTTACGGATATAGTAAATACAAGTGTATTGTGTATTGTATTTTATATTATATTGTATTTTCGTGTATTATATTCAAATACAATACATTACATTCTTAAAATACCTATAAATGTATTATTAGGGAAAAACGCTAGTAAATTTCTTACTTATATATATAAGGCTAATTATAAGGCTTATAAGAAATATTTTTATATAGTTAAATAGAGCTATTTTAGTCCTTTAAAATGCATTAATTTATATTATTATAAGTTATATAATAAGAGAGTTATTTATATTTTTATTATTTAAAATATATTATTAAAAATTTAAAATATAAAGTTTAAACTTTAAATATATAAATTTTATAAAATTAAATACTTTAAAGCTATTAACGCGTTAATTAATTATATTACTTAATTATTATTATTTTTAAGTCCTTTTTTCTTAATTTATATAGTATTAAACTTAAATTTTTAAGCTTTATTATTTAATATCTTAATAATTATTAAAAATATAATAGTAAATAATATATTATTATAAACCTTAAAATTATATTAATATAATACTATTTTTTATATAATTAATTCTTAATAATATATCTAAAAATATACTATAAAAAGACTTAAGAGTAAATATTAAATTTAAAAAAATATAAATGCAAGTAACTTTTTAAATATATAACTTATAATATTAATATAAATATCTTTATAAAGCTAAAGTTCTTCTTATTATTATAAAATTCAAAAAAAATATTAAAAGCTTTATTTTATACTAATATAAAGCTATTATACATTATAAATATCACTATCTTTCTCTTCTTCCCTATTTTTA